TAGGATAGCGGAGTGTTCGAGGTCAGTAGAATCTGACCTATCAGCTCAAAATGAGGTCACTGACGACTCGAACTGCGTGCTATCGTTCCGCATCACTTTCCAGGCTGGACCCAAAAGACACAGCCTAAACTTAGCTCCAAACTTTGTAGAACGTGATCCGTAGCCGGCACCTGTAGCGCATTTGCTGTCCTTGGTTAATTGTAAGTGATAACCTTAGTTTTATGAGGGCGTATCAATCCCAAGTTGCTCAGGCGAATATCCATGCCAGGCGCAGTCTCCAAGATCCGAGCTATTCGTTACACATACGTTTTGCATCAATCAAGGATGTTCGAACAAAAGTGACAGAAACTTTGGTAATTCATTCCCTATCCGGCTCCCCGTTTCGCTGTGATACAGCGGAGGATACTGTCAGTACACGCGTTGGCTGCGTGTGTTGCTTGAGGGATTTCTTAGAGCAGCATGTCAGATTGTGTCAAAGCAGAGAAAAACATAGGTTGCGTTGGGTCAGCCATTTGATTGCTCCATACAGTCGCAAACGTCTACAATCAGAACACTTACACACTTGAAACCCTGAGTGCCCAGAAATCACTTCAGGAAGATTACGTCTTATTGCTGCGGTCTATAAAGCACATCGCTAGATGCAGTGGCTTGTCTAGAGATTCTTTAGTTGATTTGATTATTTTCAGACATCTTGGTGTCTGCAATGACTTTTTGCTGAGGTACTAACTGGTCTATTGCATCCAGTTAACAATGATCTTTCCAAAAACGTTCTCTTTCGCTTCTACCAGTCCAAAATTCAGGATTTTATTATTCCGCACGTCATCATATCGTGACACTGTTTTGCCTTATCTCTCACGATTACTTGTTGACCCAGTGAAATTCACAAATATGCTGCACGAGCAGTTGTTGGAATAACAGTTCTGCATTTCCCCCTTTTCTACCCAAGCATGTATATTGATAGTGTCATCCGGGTGTCCGCAGTGATGGTGTAAATGCTGAAAATGAACCCATTAGGTTACATAAAGCTTATTTTGACTTCAGATGACATGACATAGCTTGCGATATATTAAAATTTCGATTGAACTCTCTAGTCGCGACGCAACACAGGCATAACACAACTGGCGTTCAACACCGTCCACCGTCAGTAACATGGATAAACACACAGAATTGGGGTGAATGACATAAGCAGGTCAAGCAATCTGTCACAATCAAGACTAAAATAACATGGTCGTATGGCTCCAGACACAAGTTGATTAGCCCTACTTAGCAGCGCCTAACTGCTTGCGAACTTTATCACCTTCTGTTGCGCAATAACCCAGTGACCGCAGTCTCCGGGTTCACAGTATAACCTATTACTATGTGGGACTTGGTGATAGACGATGACAGACACCGGTTCATTCCCGCATTCCCATCATTTTCCGCGTCAGCGCTTGCCTCAGCCACTTAGGCAAATGTTACCGTCTGAGTTAATTGTCTGTCAGTTATGTCTATGGAAATGTCCCCGCAGTTGCAGGTAAACGGGTACAATGCGTGAGAGGCCGAACTGCCAAAGGAACTTCTCCGACGATTATGAATAATAAGCATCGTTTAGGCCAGAGGGTAGCGGAACATTTGCCAAAGTGGTTGTGAGAAATGAGGACGCAACATAACTGATCCGATCCTAGGATGAGGCCCACTGTCGATAATCAACTCTAACTGACCAAGTTCTTGGGGTTGTATCTTGCTTTGTGCGTGAGCTGAGGCCAGTGCGATTCTCTTGCGCTTCGGCGTAATAAGCGCCGTGCATTCAATGAGAATGCAGCCTGTCATGTGAACACCTAACAAAGCCCATGACGAGTGTACCATAGCTATCACTTTAAAACAGTTGTGCAATTTTAACCGAAAATTCACAATAGCTTAAACGTATACCATCAGTAATACAGACTCCGTCCGTGAAATGGGGTCGACACAGAATACCAAGAGAGGGGATGAATTCAGGCGTGTGTGTGTAGCAGTCAAAAATGCATCACTCTTCCACCGTAGACAACGGTGTGCAGGCCTCGAATATTCCACACGTAATGTGGTGCATTCATTGTAGTTCGGCATGCCAGGCCAAAACCAGACCTTTCGTCCGTAGCAGCAAAGCGAAAGAATGATTCCATACTCGATCATGTGCTGTACTCTGACCTTGACATCTTGCATCTGACCTCTCTAAATAGGTTACAGCAGAGTTCAGCCAAGTGTCCGACATTTGGGCCATCAAAACCTGCAAATTTAGTAGCTCTGTAGATCTTGTCCATGATGAAATCGGATAACCGGTGAGCAGGGGGGAAGCATTATGCTCAGAACAGATTCACAACATTGTTTTGGTTTATTCGTCCACCGCACGACATTTTTAATCAAACCAGTATCGATCTGTTGCTGAGAATCGAACTGGAATTCCAACTGAGAAATAATGTATGGTGGCAATTTTAATTGTCCTGCCAAACAGCAGGTCAGGAACGGTTCTTATGCTGGAGTTTGACGAAGTTTACGGAAAGCGGAAAAGAGCTGAGCTACATCGCTACGCCGTATTGCCTACGTCCTACAAGTGCCTAAAATTTCCAGAAAGGTATGATAACGGGATTCATTTAAAAGCAATGGTTAGTTGCGAAACAGAGCGGTCATCACTGTCCTAGGCTTTCGTAGCCAGCTTGATAGGGACACTTGCATTGGCGTAGTGAGAGATAGTCTTTGAAACCAGTGCTGTTTCATGGGTTTGGAATGTTACCGAGTCCAGTCCTGTGATCAGGTAGGCCAGTGTCGCCGCCATGCAAATATCCCTGATGGATTGCATGAAGAGAGAAAGAAACTGCCAATCAAATTAGGGTCTGGTGATACCGTGGCAGCACTTAGTAGCATGCCGTCAAGTTACATTGGATTAACCACCATAATGACTATAATCACACGGGAAATGTCCCTTTGTGTGCTATTCCAAAAGTGGCTTAAATTGCTAAACACCCACATTTCCAAACCTTTGACTACTCCTCAAGCATCCCATGAAACGCTGTTATATAAACAAATAATTGTGTATATTTCCCGACGGACGGGATATGTCTGCTTTCATGGGATGATAATTCTTCAGCGAGGTTTTTCGACATTTCATTTATGAACTTGCATTTAATTTGGAACAGTCATGCAGTGTTTCGCAGTGTGTGTGATCAGTAACATTATTTGATATGCAATATTCTCATCTGTTTTTCGTACCGGATTCAATGAACGCGCTAGTGGATTGCTGAAGTTCGAAACGTTTGACCACATTTGACATGGAAGGGAGTGTTTAAATAATAGCGGTTCTCATTTGTTCTTAATTCCCACGATAGTTCATTCCACGGATTTGTGTACCTCACCAAGAAGAAATTGAAGCGCATATTTTGCTTGGTACTCTGTAAGAATAGTAGGCATTCCCAATAATGTAGGACAGATTGACTCAATTTGTTTAACGATAGTTGCTCTTTTTGAGAAGACTCGGGAATATTTTAAACTGTAATGGAAGATTGAGATTGCTTTTCATTCATCGAAGCTTAAGTGGGTTAAGCTAGAGATAAGAATATGGTTCCTCATAAGTAAACGTTTATGGGCGGCACATACGTATTGTGGTACATAGGCTCTGGAGGACTTTTCAAAGCAATTCTACCTGTTCCGCGTAACTAAGATGTTGTAGTCCGCTAGAGTGGGTTTCCCTGAGTTTGAATTATTCAAGCCGTGTTTGGGATAGCTTAATTGACCAAGTGATATAGCTTGTTAGTTGCCTCGTTTTTGTTACTTGGTGTAAAATGTGATCGGAATAGTTGAATAATCTAGAGTAATGAATTCGCAAGTCTCGAATGAAATAAGCGGATGGGCTAAGGGTGCCAATAAGTTTAGCGGATCCTTCTGGTATACTGCACTTGTGACAGAATATCGGTGTTTATGCAGAGAAAACAGCATTGACCTGCCTTCACTTTCTTTTATTAAGAATGACAAATACATAAAAATTATTCGTTTATTCTCGACAATAAGCTTGCATAGGTATGATCATGGAAATGCAAACACGAATTATGGATGCTTGTACAAACCTGTTGCAAAATTACCAATAGCTTACTGGATCCGCGTGCGTATGTGTAAAATATGGTAAGCAAGTATGAATTTACATAGCTGTGTTGTTTGGATGTGTTAATGTGCGCTGCGTTTGGGATTGTGTTCAGTCGGGTTGTCGGAGTGAGAAGAGTTCAAAGGAAACCTGTTTGTAAGACTGACATCCAGGGAGTGAGGAAACTCATCCGGATAAACGAGGAGTAGTGGTTTTATTTAGTGCTGATTCACATCCGCCACGTCGAAGTGTTATTAAACAGACATATTTGGCATTTTGAGGGAGAACGCTTGCCAGCGGAAAACCCACCAGCTCCTGGAAAGCTTCTGCCGAACTATTCGTTGGAATGGGATTAACCCGTACCACCCAGCTGGCAACATCAAGAGGTTGTTCGGCAATCCAGCCCATAGTCTTCGAGTATATTTTTATGCATAGTTCCAGATGGTCAGATAGAAGTGATTGCACTATTTTGATGTTGCTTACTAATCAAAGTTGCTGCCGTGTTCGAGGTAATCACATATAGTTTTTATGTAGACAAGACAAAGCAATTGGCCCTATACATTGCACTGAAGGACACAAATAGGGACATTTAGAGGAGCACAACAGTATTGATGCGTCTGTACTCTGTGTTCGGTCAATCTTGTATGATTTGAAACCACTCAACTGTGAATTGCTAATCCAAAAATACTCAAGGACGGCCAACCATTATTTGTGCGGTACACAGGCAAACGCTTTTACATGTCCAGTCGTGTAAAGATGATGGCGATGCTATCATCAATTGTTGCTATGATATGCTCGAGGAATTGTAATCCGCATGCAACACAGGATCCTTCTGTATTGAACCTGTGCTAGGAACGTTGATTAGATTTTTCTTTTCAGCAGCAGTGTAAGTATGATTTCTCGACCAATAGTTTGACATCTGATCTCGTGGATCCCTTTGTGTGTTTTGTAAAATTATGAAATTGTTTCATTGTGGCTGGAAGCAGTCACTGTTTGATGACTGTATAAATCTTCCACATGAGGACAAATTCGTTTTCGTCACCTAACCTTACAGTTGCTGGGGAGACACCATCAAGTCCTGGTTGGAATGTTGGTTTGATGGATGCTATAATCATCAGTACGTTCTTTGGACTCAGAGAGATGGTACACAGTACCTATTCGGTTTCCACTGGAAGGAAAGGAGAGGCTACGCAGGATGAAGTAACAAACCAGGCGGGGAGGTATGAATTTATTGGTTTACATGTTGGGATCATGTCGTCGGTCACCGTATCCCCATTCAAAATGAGTCTTATAATTTGCCGTGTTCTTTTCGTATTTTTTTCTGATCAACTACATCATGGAACTTGGTTTCCTTTTATTCCTGATAGTTCGAGTTTCCTTGGCAGTTCTAGCCTGTCGACTATGGCGTTCGATTTTCAGTAAAGTTTCCAGTAGTTGAAGTTATGTGGCTGTCTGTTTTTGCTATGCGGTATTCTCAAGTTCTTTTGTTTGGAAGCAACCATGGAACTGTGTTTGTAACTGCCGGCGAAGGGATCTGCGTTTATCATCACGCAGTTGCATGAATGTCCATAAAGTGATCACATTTTTCGCGAATTCGCTTGTGGATATGGCCGAGTCTGTTGTGTGAATAATCGGTCCCAAGAAATGGTCCTAAACAGCTTATCAAATGTGCTCCGGTCAATTAGGTGTGGTTGGGGTACTGGCTTACTTATTGCTGTGGAATTTTCAGACGACCTGATAGTTAAGCTGCAAAGCATGGTATTTTGGTCACCACTTATTATTGGGTCATAATTTAATGCACAACCAGATGTGATATGAATGATGTTACCTTGCTTGCCATGGTAAGAAGCAAGCAATGACCTTGGTTTGCTCAGTGGTTTATTGATTTTCCTATTGACCCCTTTTTCAATTGCATTCCTTTGCTCTTTCCACGATTTGTGTGAAAGCGGCTGAATGAGAAGACACGAAATAATCTGCATTCAGATTATCCAGCAGAAATGCTATTCGTTCTTGCTCTCTTGAAATTACCTAAACTGCTCGACTGCTTAACGGGTTGAGTTCACTCATTGCTAAAGACGCAGGATTATTTCCGCAAGTCCTACCGTAATTGTATCTCAATGCGACATCCAGTTTATTTTTGGCAGATTGAAAGCTTCACGTAAGAATTTGTACATGTGAGGATTGGTAGAGGCTGCGTTTATAACAGATAGTAAGTGCGCAGATTCATGGAGAGAGGCATCAACAGGTCTGTAAACACAGCCCAATAGCAGATCATGGACCGGAATAGTCAACCGTAATGAATCGTCCCAATCATTGATGGTCACTTGGTCAGATGATGTTGCTGTTATACCGTGGCGTATGTAGATGGCGCGTCCACCACGGCGTTTGCGTAGACGACCCCTCCGAAACGCATAATGACCCAGAGCATACAAGTTTAATCTATGGATATCTGATGTGTACCATACTTTGTGATATAAACAATCTGAAGTGTTTTGGGAGTATAAATGTCGTAAGTAGATCGGGTTTGTGTAAGGGTGAACGAATTAAGAGAAATAATGAGATAGGATGCACGGATTTTGTTATCTAAACTCTCTCTTCATGGACGTGGGTGGTGTGGCGCAATGAAACAACGAGGCACCGTTGCACGTTACTGTGTATTGGCTCCAGCGAAATAAATGCTAAAACAACTAGATCGTCACCTGGTTTCGTATGGCAATATGTGGAGGCCATTTGGTTGGGCCCGGATGTTGGCCTAAAAATGCGTCGTTTGTTATAGGGTGATCCTGTTTCGCAGGAAGTAGTGACGGTAGAGGGTAGGGTAGAAACTGAGACTGACATTGGGAAATAGTGTACATACAATGTCGTATGCTCTATACATGTCTCAATGTATGTTGAAAGTAGTTCGGTTATTTGAATAAGTGTATTGCCAACTACGAAGAGGAGAGACAGAAAGCCAAAGCTTTCGTGATGGTAGCTAGTAGGTCGGCTGGCTACCACTGAGCCCAGATTTGGTTTCAATATCACACATAAATTGCGACAGCATGCAGCTTTCCCCATCTAATTTATTGAGCGTTTCTCATATTCCGATGGAGCATGTTTAGGTCTTATCGGCTTTTTGGCATTTCCATAGAGTACTGTAAGACTACGGCGTTCTTTGATGATATCCATTTCTACTTGGGAACTAGGATAAATACTGTGCTATTTAGTAAGTGGTAGTTCATTTGAGTTTCCGATATTTTAATCTGATACCTTGCATTTTTGTTCTTAATAAGTGTCAAAAAAGCTATGTGTTCGTTGCTTCTGTCACAGGCACATGATATGACGCTAACTTTTGCGGGGTTTGTAATGTTGTCCGTGATCAAGGGTATATTGCGGATGAAAAAGCCAAAGCCTGACATGTCCCGCCGGATGATCGGTTAGGGGTGAGCAAAATAAGGCAAAAATGGCTATAGGAAACAGTGAACAACTGCAAACTGCAAACTTGCTGAGTACAGCGTTCCCGTTCGTCTTATGTACTATCATATTTTATCGTCTGTGGTTTCCGGATAAAAATGAAGGTGGGTTGGTTCGTTATTTTCCTGCTATTTTCATGTGTCGTTTGGAGTACGTCATTTGGTGTAGTGTGGCCGTTGCACTGTCGACACTTTCTTTGAACACGGCTCACGTGGAGGTTGAAATAACAGATTCTGAGAACGTTTTCCGCGTGTGGGAAACACGCAGCGAGAAGAAGTTTCTTCGACACTCCAACCGACTGTATTTTTCTGCCAATTTGTGATGAGCACCTCTCAGTTGGCTGTTGTGACCAAGCTTCCATAGGTGATGGCAGGGGTGATTAGTGTTGTTTAATACTTGGTACACCATGATTAGGTCACCACGCAAACGACGATAATGTTCACTGAAATTGCCAAGCACTCTGAGGCGCTTTTCGTATGGCAAGTGGTGCAGCCCGTTGACATTATTGGTCGCCTGAGGTTGTGGAAGCTCTAAGACCGTGAGATCACGCTTTAACCATGGGTGTCATGCTATAATTGTATATTCAACATGTGGGCGTATATAAGCGGGAAGTATTTGGCGGAAAATCGATGATTCGATTTGCCCAAAAGCTCTCCGTAAAAGCCCCACCATTTGTATCCCCTTCTTCGATGCGCTTTCGGACTGCTCCGTGCAGCCCAGATTTACCTGAACCAACACACCGAGATCTTTTTCGCGAGATAAGTGTTGCAACCCTGGTTCCGCAGCTTATTTGTGTGAACCTTCCGGTGTCTTAAATGGAGCACTTAACATTTAGCCACATTGAAGAAAAGGCGATTTTGGACCGACCATCCATAAATCTTGTCAAGATAGATTTGAAGCTGGATACGGTCGTCTGGAGCTCTGATCATTCGCCTAACTTTGATGTCATTGCCGTAGGGTAAACAGTTTGACGCCATTTGCCATTCTGGATGGTTTATGAAGACCAGGAATAGACGGGATCCCAATACCGCAGCTTGTGGCACTCTGCGTTCAACGTGAATTGGATCTGACAAGTATTCACGTATTCTCACCTCCAGACGCAGGTGCGAGAGAAAATTGCAGATCCACCCGAGGAGAGGTTCTCCAATGCTACATCCTTGAACTTTGGCGAGAAAGATATGATGGTCCAACCGGTCGATTGCCTCAGAGAAATCAAGGTAAGCCACATAAACCTCAGCACCATGGTCCACACGTTCGATCCAGCTGTCTCGTGCTAACAATAGGTTTGTAGAGCACGACCGATTCTGGCGGAAGCCGTGTTGCTGCTGAGCAATGTAACCAAAGCCGTCCAGATAAGACATGAGTGCGTCGGCAATGACAGCCTCCATAACTTTTGAAACAACTGGTACTAGTGTCACTGGTAGATAATTAGCTGGGTCGGATCGACTGCCCCCTTTGTAAATGGGAGTTATTACTCCGTGTTTCCACTTTGCAGGAACATGCCGCTCGTCAAGGCAGCGCTGGAACAGCCGCGCCAAAAGTTCAGCCAATTTAGTAGCCGTCACGGCAAGTGTCTTGGGGCGGAGGTCGTCGATTCCTGGACAGGCGTGCAGGCGCATGAATAGCGGCTTTCTCATCACGATGTCTACCGTAAAATTTGTAGGAATGAGTCCTAGTTTGGGCACCATAGATTCTAAAGATTCAGGAGACCACTAGATGCAATGAACCATTTTAGCATATTGTTGTTGCAGTACATTCGGCGCTTCTTTAGCAGTCCGAGTTAGACCATCCGTTGCTTTAAGAGGAGGAAATGCACTTTCCACCTTACAGAGGCTGTTCACATGCTTCTACAGAAGCTTAGGATTTGAAGTTATTCGCTGGGTTAAGGCATCTTGATAAGCCACTCGGTCCTTGCACACTAATTAGGAAGAGTGGTTGCCGTGGACAACGTATGCCTACCAGGTACTCGGACCCGGATCGGTTTTGTGGCTAAATAACGTCGCGTTGCTCATCCTAATGGGTGTGCGTGTCCTACTCCGTATGCACGACGCCATGTTTGGCAAAATGATAGGCTTGGTTTCCGGTGCTTCGCTAAGCAGCATGTTAAATGTATTGATTGAACGTTCCCAGGCAATATCGGGTGCATTCTCGGTTAGGAAACGCCACTCGGTGGCTTCAACGAGTCGGGTTAAGGTGTCGTAATTGGTTACAGTTCGAGTAGTTTGGGTTTGGTCCTCCGGATATTCCCCATAGCAAATGTATATGAAATGCAAAGTCGCATGATCACTGCGGCCTAGAGGCGTATCGATTATCACTCTCTCAATCCTCAGTTCTTCATTAGTGAATATTCGGTCTAATATGGATGGGTTGTTATTTCCCTTGAATCTGGTTGTCCAAGTGATGTGGCCATAAAGCGAAAAATCTAAGACAATATCTTGCAGATCTGCTTTAAATTACTCTCCTAGTGTGGCCTGGGATTTTAGAACAAGTAAGTTGAAATCGCCGGTGACTAGAACGTGACTGTACTTCCTGTTTATCACCTGCTTCAGTGCAGCCACCGAGCGTGTTGTGTGGAATGGAGGACGAAATTGAGTTTAGGACGACCAATGTATGGAGAGCAGCTAATCATTTTTTGGATGGGTTGCAGACGAATTTGTTATATATTCAAGTATCAGATGCCCCGGTTCTCGGCTTTCGCTCATGCTTTGCTGTGTCCCTCCAGATGTTATAGTTACGTTTTACTTGTGCCCAGTATCTTCAGGCCAGGGTCAATATTAACGTGCAATGATACTCCGTGAGTGGGTTTGTGAACTCGGTGCTGACGAGTAACTTTAGCTAAAAGCGGCGTTGATGATCGGTTAAAGATCGTATAAGATGATATAAGATGATATATATATAGCTGGACAGTTGTATGGTCTGATTGGATGACAGCACTTCATGTTGGGTTGGGCCCGTATACGACAAAAGACCGCATCGTTGTCAACACAAATGGCGCAAAGATACGGGACATGAGCCACTGAATGAATCACCTTACGTACAAACTGCCTTGCAGTGGCGTTTAGTCGCTTCTAATCAATATGTGTCGCATGTCCCAATATCACATTTGTATGGCGCCCACATAAGAGAATGTTTATATTTGTACAAGTTGATCTGTGTCGCCACAGACAGTCTCGTGGACCAGGAGATATATACCTACACTTTTCATTATGCTCTAGAATAAAAGGCAATATTGATTCAACACAGCAAAACGGCAAACCGCGATTAAGGTGTCTAGACGGAAAGAGAAGACCACTACTAATGCTCAATCATGCTTAAAGTGAATCCTTGTTTATCTACCCAACGCTGGATCGACACAAAGCCAGACACGTCCGTAACGTTTTATATGAACGAGAATTGGTGTGATCGTCCAGGGTTTCACGTGCAACCC